GCCATGGGGCAGCTGCTGCAAGGGTGCCAGGCTGGGGGGGAGCGATCCCCACTACCCCCCACTACCGTGCCCTGCGCTGCACGGGGAAGGCTCTGCCATAAGCCCTCAGAGACCCTGATTGCCGCTGCTGCAGCCAGTGAGTACGGGGCTTCTTTCTTATTTTTCTTTTCAAGTGCCGATAGGATGGGCCAGGCTTGGGATGGGGCCAGGCAGGGCAGCCATGGGGGCTTCTCTCACGGCTGCGCCAGCCCAGAGAGAGGTAGGCATAGCCGGAGGAGCTGCGGGAGAACCTGCAGTTGCCCAGCTGTTCCTGCCTCTTCCCCAGCTGATCTGAATCTCTCTGAATCTTTTCTGAATTGATTCAGAGGCTTCAGTTTTGATTCATACCTTTTAGCGGGTCTCCCGATTCAGTTCAGATTCAGAGATTCGGCCGTCGAATCAGGCCAGATCTTCTCTGAATTGAATCAGCAACTGAAGCTTTGCGCAGCCCTACTAGAGAGAGACAGATATTAGTGGTTTCATTTTAATCAGAGAAAAATGTGGATTTTGGGTTACTTTTTTAAATCTGAAACGTGAGGATTTCTTTTTAATCAGAGAAAATCAGGATCCCTGCTTATCAGGATATTTCCATGAAATGTTGGGCTGGTTTTTGATGTTGTTGTTTTTAAAACTTCATCAACTTTCTTCCCCTACTTAGGTGAGCAATAGCAAACACGCACCAGAACATCAGAGCTACTGTACTTTGTGCTGCACCTCAGAACAAGTGTATGTGTGTGTTATACTGAGAGCAGCACCGCCACCTGTTTCCTCTGCCCATCCTTCCTGAACAAGTTACACCCATCCTGGAAAATATTCCAGTAATATGAATTATGCCACCAAGTTTCAGTTAAACAAATTACAACATACTTACATGATTGTGTAGGGCTTCCAGTTCTTCTTACAAATATCTTTGATAACTAGCAGCTTGCTCTAACTTGACACTGAGAAATATTAAGGTTTCCCATAGTCTCTTCTTTTTTGGTTTTTATCCAGGTCACCTGACTCTCTACTTCTTAGTTTTTCTCTTTGTCCTCCATTGACCCTAGTTTAAAACACTCCTCACTAGGTTAACAAAGATGGCCTTTCTGCTGTCATCAGGTGAACCCCATCTTTTCCTAACAGTCCTTGGAACACCAGCCCATGGCCAAAAAAGCCAAAGTCCTGCTGGTAACACCATGTATGCAGCCATATGTTGATCTCTGGGGTGTATGTGGTGCTGCCTGGGCCCTTAACCTTGACTTGAAGGATCAATGGAGAGACAACATGGGCCCCTGTCACCTGCACTTTTGCATGGAGAGCCATGTTGTTACTTTTGATCTGTTTAGGGTCACCCCTGGTAGTACAATTAGTGTCCACATGGCTGAGCAGCATGGGGTAGCGTGAGCCCGAGCAACCCCTCCGTAACCTCTCAAATACATATTTCTGGTAGGAGCAGACCTGAGACAATGAGTCAGACTGGCAGATGAATTGCTGTATCCCTTGCAGTCACCAGCGTGTCACCAGCTACCACCACCCTTTGCTGTATTCATGAACAGGCCCACAATGTCAGTCACTTGATACCTGAAGATGGCCACTTTGTGCCTGAAAGCTTGTCTCACATCTCTCAACTATACATATGGTCCAGGAAAACCCCTTGCTTCTCTTAGTATTATAGAACACTGTGCCTGAAAAATGTGTTTGGGAAGTACCTAAATATACAGTGCATGTGTAGAAAAGAAAGGGCTATCAACCTGTTTGAAATGCATTTTAGTTACAAAGCAGCATTATTTAATTTTCATGAATGTTTTGCCTCAATAAGGAAATATGATGAGCTAAACACTCTTTTCCTTGCCAGGGCCCAATGTGTGATCTTTTATGGTCAGATCCAGATGATCGTGGTGGCTGGGGTATCTCTCCGCGTGGTGCTGGCTACACATTTGGACAAGACATTTCTGAAACATTTAACCATGCCAATGGTCTTACGCTGGTCTCCCGTGCTCACCAACTTGTTATGGAGGTATGATGAGTATTTTCTGTTCTACATGTAAACTACCAAAGATGAGGTCATACAGAAACTAATTTCTAAATGCAAGTTTGGTGTGTATTCAATTGCATATAGTGGCATTTAAAAGCCTTTCTTGCAATAGGCCAGAAATGTAATGCTCTAAATCTTTGTCATTTTAGCTAAATTATTAAAAGGATATTCAGTTGTCATCTTTATCGAGTTATTCAAAGTATGTTTCATCTCCATTTCCTTTCTATCACTAGTTATGCATTTACTTTATTCAAATCTAAGACCACCCTGAATTTAAGATGACCCCCCAATAATTAGATTCTGTATATGGAAAATATATAAATTTGTTATCATTTTCCAGGTATAAAATCTAATTACTGGAGGGTTGTTTTAAATTCATCTCCTCCCCACTGCTACAGCAGGAAAAGCAGTGGCCAGTGGGGGATCAGGTGGCTGGCTGAGGTGGTTAGGTAGCCCCCTCACTCTGCCCTCCCTCCATTTCTTCCCCCTGCAGCCTTCCTGCTTCCACCTCCCCCCACCACCTGCATCTCCTCATCCCCAGCTCCCCACAGCCTCTGCATCTTACCCTGCTCACTCCCAACAATCTCTAAGCTTTCTCCCCTGCTGTCCACAGTCTGTGCCTCT